TTAATGTATCATATTTCTAGCCAATTGTCCAATAGAAATTTAGTAAAAGACCATATATAATTTTAAATTTCATAGTAGGCACATAAAACTTAAAAGGAACCAGCTAAAATTAATTTTAATAGATTTTATTAAATCTGTGGTGTTATCTTTTAAAATGAAATCAACATAAAATTATTAATGAGATATTTTACATTCTTTATATTTGTTATAAGTCTCTGAAATCCAATGTATTTCAATTTGAAATAGTCACATTTCAGGTGCAGAGTAGTCACATTTAAATAGTATCTACTCTATTAGCACAGTGTGGGACAATTGCATCATTTTCCCTTTTTCTAAAATTTTTGTCTTTTGTTTTTTGGTTCCTTGAAAAGGGTTGATAAGTAATGATAAAGTAATTCCTAGAATAGTAAGAGGAGAAAATGTCTCAAGATTTGGGAAAACAAAAATCACTAACTTTCCATTCTGCATTTTAGATTTGTGCAAGGGTCTAACAGATCCTATGATGATCGCAAGAAATAAATTTGTTCTTTTTATTTTTTTAAAGCAGTTTGGGAAATCTCAAAAAATAAGAGAACAGACAAGCTGATTAAAAAATGGGCAAAGATCTTAACAGACACCTCACTAAAAAAGATATATGGATGAAAAATAAACATGAAAAGATGTTCCACATATGTCATCAGGGAAATGCAAATTAGAGTGAGATACCATTACACACCTATTAGAAAGGCCAAAATCTGGAACACTGGCCTCTCCAAGTCTGGTGAGGATGTGGAGCAACAGGAACTCTCATTCATTACTGATGGAAATGAAGAATGGTAGAGCTACTTGGATGACAATTTGTCAGTTTCTTATAAAAGTAAATATATTGTTACCATTCCACCCAGCAATCATGCTCCTGGGTGTTTACCCAAAAGGAGTTGAATAGTTATGTCCACAAAATAAAACAAAACCAAACCTTACATACAGATGTTTATGGCAACTTTATTCACAATTATCTAAATTTAGAAGCAACCAAGATATCCTTCAGTAGGTGAATAGACAAACTGGTACATCAAGACAATAGAATATTATTAAACACTAAAAAGAAATGAGCTATTAAGCCTTGACTAAAACTTAAATGAATATTACTGCATGAAAGAAGTCGCTCTGAAAAATACTGCATACTGTATCAACCTAGGTATATGACATTCATACTCGGGAACAGGCAAAAATGGAGACAGTAAAAGGATTGCCAGAGCATAAAAGTGGTCACCAGGAATTTTCCAGGGGAAGGTCCAAATAGAATTTTTTGGGCATTGAAACTGTTCGCATGTTACTGTCATGGCGGATACATAGCATTAATTATTTGTCCAAACCTAGAGAACGCACGACACCAAGAGGAATGAATTGTAATGTAAACTGTGGACTTTGGGTAATAATGATACATCAGTGTAGGTTTCTCAATTTTGATAAATGTACCACTCTCGTGGGGTTGTTGATAATGACCGAGGCCAGGCATGTGGGGAGTCAGAGGCTTTATGAGAAATATCCATATTATTTCCTCAATTTTGCTATGAACCTAAAACTTCTTTAAAGAAAATCTTTAAAATTTTCTTAAAAGTATTTTTGCGCTTCAAAAGACAGCTAAGAGAGAATAGAAATCACAAAGTACCAATCCATACACATGGTTAGAACTACTTAAAAAATAAAATCCAAGGTGCCTTAAAAGTATATGGAGGATTAACCACTTTCATTGCTTTTTATATTTCTTTTCACGGCACCACTGTAGCAACACTTTGGGGGAATTCATCACTGATATTTTAAGGAATGAGAATTGGAATCCTTTGTTACCCCCCTAATTCAACCTGAATCTGCCTTGCCTATATGAATGTATATATTCATAATATGACATTTATAAAAAGGAAAACAAATATCTTTAAATAGTGTATATTATATACAATGTTATTCTGAAAAGTTATTTATAAATCTATTAAATTGCTTTCATGCCATCTGATGTTAGCTCATAAAAGAATGAACTTTATCATTTCTTTAATAATTAAACCAGTCTGATAAGATATTTTATTGATGGAATCAATGCATATAATTGAAAGGTGATATTTAACACTAAAATGTATAGAGGAACATGCCCAGAGCCCACCATCTGCAATGCTGTTCCTACACTCGACCTGGGAAATCTTCACCCTAGCCCCGAGTGCTGAGCTGGTCCTCAGGTTATTGCTTAGCACCGCGGGAAGGTCCCTCTATCAGACATAAGAAGTACCTCATCTCTGTTCCAAAGAACCCTCATTCTGGCCTCAAAGTCTTAAATCTGTATGTATCTCATATATCAAATGAGAATATCTTTCTGGTCTTTTCTGCTTCATAGATTGGTGAAAATGAGAAAATGATTATCTTCTGAAAATGATACTGTTTTAAGATAAGAAGCATCAATATTTGAACCTCTTTAATGTTTTCTCATATTTCTCTTCATTGATGATTAAAAATAAGGCTAATGGAAACACACACACACCATCAACACCATTTCTCAATGCATTTTTATTTTTAAATTTTATTTCATGTCATGGTAAACGTAAGTGGCTTGTAGATTTGCCTCTGGCTCACCAAAAGCCCATAATACAAAATACCAAAAGACAAGCAACGTAAGCTTTTAAAAAAGTATCACAATCTATAAGAAAGAATTTTTCAAAAACATTAATAAAGTATATAAAACATTTAACATTTACTAATTTTTGTACAATATAAAAATAATAAAAAAAACAGAACCCTTAACATTCAACATCCCACGTACTGCATTTTAGGGGAATATCAACAGACAAATGTTAATGGATTTAATGAAGAAAGTTCTGTTCCCCATTTGTGTTCCTAACCACCTCCAAACAAAAACCTATCCATTCTTCAGCTAACTGCATTGAGCTGAGATCACAAGAACTTCACTAAGCACACTCCCACTTTTTTTCCCTCAATGTTATTTTACCCCATTCTTCTAGCTACTCATATTCTCAAAGAGTATAAGTTTCCACCAGGAGGTAAGGTCAGTAGTTGCACCTAGGCTCAGCTAATGCCAAACCCATGAGATACAGTACACGAATTTGAGTCCCTAGTTCCACCTAAATAGTGCTGAAATAGCTCAGAAGAAGCCCTTAGGTTTGTTCAAACACTCAGGACAATAGAGGAAGCCATTTGTCCTCTTAGCTTTGCTAAGGCACAGCTTTTATTCTTCCCCTCAATAAGTTTTCAAAGCTGCCTCCTTGTTCCACAAGTTAACAGTGCTTACTACCATTTAAGCATAATGAAACTTTGAAATCCAGGACTCACTCTCTTTAACATACAAAATAAAAATAATAAAAAACAACAACTTTCCCTTCCCCCCATCTTATAGTTATGACATTTTCTTTTATTTGACGTCTTAGTTTTACTAACTGGTGTTTCCATGAAAATATAAAAACAATAATAATAATAATAATAATAATAATAAAAGGTTTCAACTGTGGTTCTGAAAAAAAAACCCGCTAACCCAAAAAGAAAAAAAATAACTGAAACACAGAATATGCAATTTCACACTCAAAACATATATACACTTTCAGATGACACTCATACATCATATTTTAGAGCCACATTAGCCCTTTTGCACTTTAAAATAAAAATGGAAGCTTATGTGCAATGACAGCCCTTTACCAGAAAGTAGGAGAGGGTTTTAGAGCTCATAGAGTATATACAAAATATTCATTTTACAGTGTGAAAAAAGTATTTGCTACAAAATATGCTTCTGAAATATTTACTAGAATATTGTCATGTTTTATAAACTTTGAAGACAACTCTTTGTTTATGTGTTTCAAGCAACAGCTCCTCCCATGGAAGGCTTATCCCCAGAACGGTGGGGACATTTTTATGTCTATGCACAGCCCAGAAGAGAGTGAATGGGGAAGTGGGCTCTCACAGTTAACTTTCCAACAAAGTGAAACTCTCATTGATCGAAAACAAAAAGTGACACAGTGATCTAACTAATGCCACAGAAGGAAACTAATCTCATAATTTTATGTTTTCCAAATCACTATTCCTATTTTAAACCTTGAAGAGAGAAAGATAAGCAAGCTTCTAAATGCAGAATTTTATAAAATAGGAGGGTCTTTAAAAGAAACATGTATGAAGTGACATTATCTATATTTCAAGAGGTCTTCCAAGAATTTCAATTTTCGGCTCGCTGGAATCTCTTACTGTTTAGTGGAGATTCATTATTTCCACATATCTGCCTTTCCTGGTTATTCTTCTTAACAGACATTATGACTGCATTGTAAGAACTCAGTAGATGGCATTTATGCCAATAAACTTAACCTTAATTCTATCAAGGATAGCAAATGTGTAATTGAGTTAGTCAATCTAGTCATAAATCTCAGTTTTAAGGCTTCTAGAATAGCCACAAATGTTTTCCAGTAAATACTAAGAGATCACATGTCTGGTTTTAAACTTGAGGGGATTATTGATATATCCAGATGGATGATACCAGGTATTTTTGAACTGGCTGCCTTGGTTCTTTTAAGGGTTTTAGTCCTGACCCAAATTCCAAGCAAGAGAGGATATTTCCTTCCTGTGGTGCATGATAATGTGACTATGAACTTTTTCTTGTAATTGGGTCAAATAGCCCCAGAGTGAATCACCGTCAGTAAGTAGGGATGTCAGTAACATAAAATACACTAACACAGGAATCATGCACAAATGTATATAGTCTCACCCACGTAATAAGTAACGGTAAGTACAACTGGATCTATCCAAAGGTTTGAGTAGCATTTGTTTAGCATCTAAAGGACTGAAGTACCTATACATAATCATCACTCACATGTACCACAAGCTCTAAATAGGTATTACCACACATGTTATCCCTTGGGAGAAGGGGTATACATAAGCAATCCAAAACAAGTAAATTTAAAAAAACAAAAGTTGATAAGTGCAATGCAATTTTTTTTCCTTTAAATTACATTTTAAACAATACTCGATGCCCCCTCCACTCAAAAATATATACTGTATATTTATATATTTAAATATATAGTCTTAGACTATAAGGGTGAAAATGCTTTATAAAAGTCAATGAGATCTCTGCAGCTTAAGAAGACACTCACTGCTTTTTTGCTCATTTCTACCTATCCATAGCAACTTTAGTCTTGCAAGCAATAGACTTGAAGGCTTAAAGCCAGAATCAGAATCAGACATCAGGTTGGACATCAAATTAATGTAGCCTCTTACTTCTTTCCTTTAGAAACCAGACTGAGAAGAGCAGGGTTATAGGGAGAATGCTTTGAAGGTCAAGCTGTAGAACCTTGTGGGGGGTGGGCACATGGCAAGAGGACAGAAAGTGATCACACAGTGGTGCTCACTCCCCCTCCTCTTTGATACGCTGTTGTTTGTTGCGACGAGCATCCATGTCAAAGTTGAAGTCATTCCACTCATCACGGGGTGGGAAGGAGATGGTCTGACGGAGGGTGAAGCGCACAGCATCAATAACACGCTCACCTCTGGTCTCACTGGAGCCCACACTGACTGTAGAAGTACCACTTGGGGTCCGCAGGAGGTGGGGAGGGGAGGAGAAGTCATGTAGCTGCCGGTGGTCCAGGATGCCTTTCCAGATCGCATGTCGGAATTGCTCAGGGATTTTTAGACTTGCCAAATCCTGTGCAATCAGAAAGGGAGTTAGGGAGAATTAGGACATAGAGACTGACATTTAGTCTATACCATTTTGTTATTCCCCAGGGCTTTGGTTTAACTGAGCTGAATTTATTGATCTCTAAATTAGAAAATAAAGTAGCTGTCCAATAGCCTTTGGCACTACATGCCACTAAGCACAAGGATACAGCCTTGAGGTGCCATCTCTGCTTGTGGATAACACTTCACTCATTCTTTACTGGTCTCAGTTCCTTCATTAGTAAAATGGGGACCACAGTTAGATCAGAGGGCAAAAATCCCAAAACAAAAACATAAGGTAAAAGTGCCTTCAGATTATCACCACCACTTAAATGAGGCGATGGGAAACAAAGATTGCTATCAGTTATTAAACATTTTCGATGTGCCAGCCCCTGCACTATATTCATAATCTCATTTAATGCTCAGATTAGTGGTAGATATTATTACACTTATTTTTAGATAGGAAAGCTGAAGATCAGAGAAGTTGACAAGTCTAAATTTGCACAAATGAATGAACTGGGGACTCAGGACAGCCTCTATACCTAAAGCTACCCAAATGGCCAAAAGTTTCTTAGTGCTTAGATAAATTAGGGTATCAAAATGCAGAGTATGTGCCCATATTCTATGGATGGGGATAGAAGACATTACGAATACGGTCGATCTTAACTAATGCTTGTGGCCTCTCTTACGTTTATCTATAGTAGCTCTTCATTAGCTTGTTTTGGTGATGGCTCATTTATTTTATTTTTAATTTTTTTATGGAACAGCATGGTGTGTAGAAAGAACATTGTTTTTGGAGCCAGAAGACCATGGCAGAGGTTCTTCTATCACTGGCTGGGTCTAGGCCTTCATTGAGTCACTTATTCTCTACTAACCTCAATGGGAAAATGGAATACAATTCCTTTTGAGGTCCTTGTGAACCCATGTAAATGTGGATATGAAAACATTTTGCAAAATATAAAGCATGCTATATAAATCTAAACCATTTGTGTTATTACTGTTGTATTACTATGAACCCATCCTTTCATCTTAGAGGGGATACTTATGAAAATGCCCAAATTTAATGGCATTGCTTTTCCAGGTAGGGGTGCCAAATAACTTAGACTGGTATTGAAAGACAAGCTGAAAATGAGGGGTCTATTTCCAGTAATGAGATGGAAGAGGCTGAGGTGAGGATGCAGAAATTAGGTAACTTCTGAATCTTTCTTGATTTGGAAATTTGCATTATGGATACTCCAATGTTCCTCTTCCAGCAGAAGAATACATTATAGGGAAGGCAATCCATAAACAGATAAGTGAGCATAATTCCTTAGGCATTGGAAACTGCAGATAAGTCCAAAACTCTTTATAAACTGGACTCCATTAATCTGCATGACTCTCTAGGTAGATTTTAACTCATAACTGACAGGTAAGAAAGCTGTGGTCCAGACACTGGCACAAGACCTAGCTGACACCAGCAGAGATGTACTTGTGGAGAACACCGTCAGATCCTAATAGCCATCCTGACACACTCCCCAGTGGGGACAAATGAGCAAGTAGAAGGTATAACTTTAAAGATATATGGAAGAGACACATTCCCTGTTCCATAATGTAGGGCTGTCAATCATAGGGCATCTCTGTTGTCTTCAATGGATGGGCATCATTTTAAAGTTATCTAAAACTTGTCAGAACTAACTGAAAGCTTCCTCTATAGTTTTCACCACCAGGGAGCAGCAGCCAGAGCTGATTTATGGGGTGGAGAGGGGCGGGCATAGGGGCAGCACAGCATATACTTGTCACCACAGGGCTGGGGCATTCTCTCATGCTGCAAGGGCATCTCTGGCATCGGTGCTCAAGGAGAGGGAAAAAAGCCCCAACTACAGAAGCAGAAGCAAAGGCAGAGAGGACCTTCCACCAGTCTAAAAGGACCTCTGGAAGTTGGTAGACAGGATAGCAAATCCCAGAAAGAGCAGTACAAAGGGCAGCTGGGGAGAATACTAGATTGCCTTAAACCAGAATAATACAAGCTCCTGGGTGAGCAATAGTTCAAGAAGTGGTTTAGGAAAAAAACGTCCCCTTCCATCCAGCTTGCTCCAAAATACAAATCAAAGAATATAAAAGCTAGAAGAGCATGATTTTGAACCCAGCTAGGTTAACTGAGGCCCAGAGAGGCAAAGCGATAACCGTAAGTTTACACTGCTACTAAAAAGCAGAGATGGGATTTAAACCCATGACCAGTGATCTTTCCCAACATTCAGGGATGTCTGAGCCCTATTCTGACAGAACTGAAGATAAAGGAACATATGGTTCTCACTGAGAGGAGCAGTTGAATCCCCTTAAGGTCCTAGGTTAAGGAAAGGCAGAAAAGGCCAGTTAACAGAGTTAAAGACCAGAAGTTTACATCTCAGGGTTGTATTCCTGCTTTTGTCAGCCACCCAGCATGGCAAATGACTATATTGTTGTCTCTCCATGTTTTAAAGTGAGAAAAATATCACCTGCTTCCTGCTATCCTCCTGGGATCTAACACCAATTAATAAGAACATCCCAAAAGTTCTCGGCATTTAGAGATTATAAATTTCCTGAAGGTGGGAATTAGATCTCTTTCTCATTCTGTATATAGTATGCATGCAACAGATAACTGATCAGACAAGCTGAGAAAGGTTGATGGCTAAGCATCTCATATGTATATGCTGAGGTCTGGGGATCTTTCTAATATGGCTATGGATTTCATCCAAACTGAATATTAGGGGTATGACAAAAACAAATTTTAAAGCCAGGGGGATTAAACTAGAAGGTGGATGTCACCAGAGGGAGGAAATGGAGAAATAAAACTCAAGAGAAAAGTCTAACAGTTACTTACATCCATGGAGTAATGCTCAATCTGATAGATGGTGGTCAGCCCCTGGGTCGTGAAATAGTCCAGACATGATGAACAGCCCAACCTCGCTAAGAAACTGCAGTGGGAGGAGGGAAGAGGAAGGAGGAAACAGAAAAAGAAAGTTCACCCCAACTGCATTGGCGAGATAAAGGAAAACCCAACATTTCGCCCTGGGATGTCCTACAGAGGAGACTAGAGATAGATAAAATATATGTGATTCTTGGATTTGGGATTTGGGCGTAATTAGTGACTTCAACTTTAGGTCTAGAATAATTAAAATCAACTGTAAGGATTCCTACAGGGCAGCAATTTTCAAATGGTGACTGAATTCTAAGGGGCTCTATATAAGTGCTTTAGAAGCCATTGCAGGGGGTAAAAGGAAGGAGTCCAGCCGTCAGGTTCTCAGCCCTCTTGCCTCCCGACTCTTCACTTCAAAAAGAGCATCTCCACTTTGTTTTGTATATGAGGGTTCTGAGGTTGGTTCTGAGAATGGAACGTGTGCTTAGGATAGGTTCATGAAACTAAGGTAAATTATAGGCCACTCTATGCCATGAAGTCATCAATGCTTTTTGATTTTTTGTCCTCCTCAGAATACAGACACTCTCCTTTTTTGGTGCTGGTCTCAGACTGATGATGCTACCACTGTCTGTCACAGAGCCAGATGCTGGGTGGAATAAAGTTGTGCATTTCACCATCCCTCTGACTGATGCTGCTAGTTTTATTGCATCAATCACATTGAGATCAACACACATTATTCACGCAGCCAAATGAAAGATTCTTTCTGCCCATGACACAGGGCAGACAATGTGCCCTAGGCATGAGATTTGAGCACATAGTCTTGCCTCTGTGCGAAATAGATCTTTCAGGCTTCATGCATTTCTCTCTCTTTGCTATCTGGACTCCTTTGCCTTGAGTGTTCCCATTTCCCATATAGCAAAGCAGCAGAGGCCATCAGCTCCTTGAAAGTCCCTGTCGTTTTTGCTAACATGAAAACCTTTTATGGGCATGCAACTTCAAAATAATCATCCCATAGTGGCTGAGAGCTATGAGGCCTAGAGAGCAGAAAAGGGAGCAAGATAGCAAGTTTACTGCCTTTTTGGGAACCCCAGCCCTGGGCACCAATTTGAAGGCCAAAACTGACAGTGTAAAAACGTGAGGAGGAAGTAGGGAGCAAGTGAAGCTGGGGGAAGAGGCATGAAAAATTATATGCCTATAAAATTATATTTTCACTTTTCCCCATGTTGATTATAGTGATGTTCCTTGATTATACACTGCTGATCACGCCACAGATCAGAGATAATAGCAGCTGAACTTCAACCACAGGGCTGCTTTCTTTCTTTCCAACTGTGCTATTAACTTTGGATAGTGTCCACCCTCCACCACCCAGAGATGCTTAGGACAGGCCCCCGGGGGCACATGCTGTGGACTCACCTGACAAGGCTGCAATCTGTGGGGTACGGAGGTGGGGGGGTGCAGTGGGAGGTGGATGGCATGGAGAGTGGGGGAGGGAGGGCCTGGGTGGGGCTGAGTCCATTCATGTCTCCAGCCATTGGCATGTGGGTGCCCATCATAGGAACTGAACGGAAGCAGGAGGAACAGAGAGGGTTACTGCCATCATCATGTACCAGCATCCCAGTGGTCCGTCCTTCCTGGTTTAATGTACCTAATCTACCTATAGTCCTTTTTAGTCTTATCTCTCACTATACCCCTTCAAGCACCCTACATGTCATCAATCAGAATAGTCACCAAACTAAAAACTGATTACATACCTCTTGACCTTTATACAGTCTCTTGGGACAGTCTCTTCCCACTTCTTTCTCTAGTTCTAAAGCTCTATCCAATTGCTCATTGCTCCCGATGTTAATATTTTCCTCACTGCATCTGCCTTCATGGGTTATAGTTTTGTCTCTTTCACTAGACTAATCTCCTCAAACATGGAGATTAGACATTACCTATCTAGATCTCCATAGATCTGAGCACAGTGACTGGTAAAGAGCAGATGCTCAGTCAACTTAGGTTAACTGAACAAATGAACAAATCTGCCAATGAGGGAGTTATATTTATTTGGGAATAAGAATAGGAGGATGTATTGTCATATTTGTAGAGAATCATAAACCTAATAGGGAAGAATGAAATTAAAAATTCTAGCTCTTTCTTATGGTCCATTTCAGGATTGTATTTGGGAACACCATCAACACACTAATTTTTTTTTTTTTTACACTAAACCATAAACTGTGAACATTCACTTACAGAGAAGAGAAGCTTAATTTCAATTATATTTATGAAACAATCTTTGTCTCCAGGTAGAACAAAAAAGATCAAAACTACTTATCTATAAAAATATGAGATGTCATTTGCTTCTACTTTAGTGAGTAGTAGAGTGCCAAAGGGAAAAGACCTCTGCCACTAACTGGCCAGCTATAGAGCACAGGACTACTATGTCTCATTGGTTTCCCCTCTGACTTTCCTGACAACAGCAAAGGAAAATTGTGACATATAAGGAATAAAAAGTGCACAAATCATATTACACATATGTGAAGGATCATTATCATTACTATTATTTGGTCATCCCTAGAAAAATTTGAGGACTCTAGGATCTCATAAAAAAGAAAATTAAGGAAAAAGTAAATGGTCACTCTTTCTTTTATTGTCAAGGAGTCAGGTTTTGAGTCTTAGGTTTCATTTATCCCTACTGAGAGGGCAGTCTGGCTCTCATGTCTTTGTTGCTCTACCACGTACGTCTCCAGCTTATTAAAATCTGAACATGTGCCATCAGACCATAGAGAGTCCCAATTCTACCCAGCCTTAACTTCTTTAAGAAAATCCAGTATCTTCAAAGAAACACTGAAAATACAAAAGGCTTAGTAAAAATGCTGGAAGATTTCAGAAGACAATATTGAGGCACCATTTTATGAAAAGGGGGGAGTTATAGAATACACGTACGGTATTAGGCTCCTGCAGCCCTGAGGTTATTATACATGCTTCTGCATTTTTATCATCCCTTTTCTTTCTTTCAACTTTGGGTATCCACTTTGCTAGATTTAGTTCTGGGGGACAAAATAGTTATATTTACAACAAGACTATATACCTACATACCAGTCACCATCCACTTGGATGTCCAAATCTCACATTGTTTCTTACAGTTATACTTATTTGTTATGAGGCATCTGTGTGTAAATAAGTAAAAGGGAAACTCCTTTCCCTATGTCATTTAGTTACTGATTGTGAACAAAATTTATTAGTCAAGTTGAGAAGGCCAAGATTGCAGGGACACAGAATCATAAAATATTAAATATGCAGAGTGATGATTTTAGGAATGAGAAGCTGAGCTTTAGAGCAAAGAGATGTGCTATTCCTAGTTACACAGCTAACATTGCAATAGAGTCCTGACTATAATATATTTTAGATTTTAAGTCTACCACACCACACTACTTCTCACATGTTGGATATATTTGCCTTTGACTATTCCAAAGGATTTAGGAGGTGAGACTTTATCCAAGTTGATAAGGGGTGGGCTATTCTTTTCACATAGATTCTACCCCTTCTAAAGAAAGAGCCTTCTTCATCTCTACCAATGTACTTTGTAAGGAACCACACACCTCAAAAGCAAGAAAATGTTTACCGTGAGAAACCCAAGCCACTCGGCTTGGACTTGTTCTGTCCTACTGTGTCTCACTTAGCTTAAGAGCAAGCCTTTTCCCCATCCCGGAGAAGAGTCTTCCTCTCACACTAGCCCTGTGGGTCCTTCAGCCACCACTAAAGGGAGATGCTCTTACTGTTGGTTCCCATGCCATCAGGAATGGTGGTGGGAGTGAGGGCGTTGCGCTGCTGAGGGTTGATAAGCTGGCTCACGGAAGGCAGCTTGTTCATGCTGTTCATTTTGTTCAGAGGTGGGGAGCTGTTACCATATGAAGACTGAGACTGCATCGAGGTCCTGGGAACACAAAGATCAGAATGATGGTGAGCATGGGACACTGAAGAGTGGGGACCGGTCATTTTCAACAGGTTTCAGGTTAAAACATGGCCTTAAACTCTGTAATTGCAAAACTATTCCTTCAGAATCGATGACAAGAAGTTATCTGCACTTCCACCTGAGACCTTTTTCTGACTAGGGAAGGGTCACAATGCTATCATCAAATCTTATTTTTCTTGAATGTGCAGAGTACAAAGTTGAATATCTTCCTAAAGCATCTCCTTTGTGAGAGGGAGAATTGCACTCTCCTCTTTATCATTTCTTCTGTCCTTTTGCCCTTGCTTGCCTCTCAACTTAAACAAGTTTAAAAATCAGTGAGGGAAAAGAACTGAGTGAAAACTCAAAGGCTTACGAAAGATACAGAGATGCCAAGCTCAAATGGTAACCGAGGCATTTCATTTGCAGCTTCCTAGGCCATTTGGGATGTGCAGAAAATAACTGCAAAGCCAATCAATCAAATGGGGCCTTTGGCAGCAGAGTCTGCTTTTATGCAGAGGCCTCAACATGGAAGTGTGGACTTGTCAGTTTAGATGTTCAAGGGCCATAGAGGAACCATTTGGAATGTCAACAGCCGCTGTTTGCAGTGGAGCCCTGGAGCCCAAACAACTGTTTTGTTGACGTTCCACAAGTCCCCTGGGACACAGAGGAAAAAAAAAAAAAAAGTTTTTCATTCAGCATCACTTCAATTTGGAAATTTACTAGAATTGGTTTGTCATACTATGCATTATATTACATATGATATTCCTGACTCAAATGCCATTCCTAAATCCTCCTTTGAATATAGAACTAATGATATCTACTAGAATCAGGACAGGTTGTAAAGTCAGAAAATGGGAATTTAAGTCTCCCTCCAGCATACAGTAAGAAGCTATAAGTCCCAGTGCAAGCCAATAAACATCCCTGCCTTTGTCTTCTCATAGGAAAACTGTATATACTAAATACATATATGTTCTTGCTGCAGGAATTAGATGCTAGGGGAAAGAAAACTAATAAGAGGTAGGTGCATCTTTGAGAAGCTCATAGGGCAATGGATACATGGAGATAATAATCCAACCTACCTTGTAAGGTTGTAATGAAAACTGAAAAAGATAATATGAAAAACTTTATAGACCATGCGGCATTAACAGTGAATAATTATTGTGACCATAGAATGAATATTATGCTTTGAGCATGTTTCTAACCTTTGATGGGAAAAGCTCCCCTTTTAGACTTATCAACAAAATGTATTATTGTGTTTCTGTTTGTCTCCTCCCTGCTGCTGTGATATTTATATTAGAGGAGAGAGAAATGATGTTTCTTTCCTTTGTATTTGCATATATACATGTGTATGTATGTATATACACTAACAACTATATATAAAATACAAATCTTGAAGGCTCCATAAATGAACCCAGTTTTCAAACAAACATGGTAGAATAATGTTTGAAAACATAATAAAAATGGTTCTAGCACTTAAGTGTTACAGTTGTACACTTGGCTTTTGAAGCTGCCACACTTGTTCTTCATAATTACACAAAACAGGGATAACCCTATTCCATGGCTAGGGGAATTCAAACATTATGCTCTATACGTATTGGCATAAATGTGCATGAAAATTAATATACAATTAACAATTCAGTTGCATACTACCATCACTGCTGTTAAGGTAGGAAGGCATTGATTTTTCTTTGTAGTCCTTCTCAAGAAATCAAAATTACAGATAGATCCATGTTGTATAAACAGATATTTATATAAGCTCTCCCAATTCAGAGATAGTTCAGGTTATGAAACTCTCCTTTATTCATTTTCTGAAAGATTCTCACATCCCTGTGGAGGAGGCCATGGTATAGCAGGGGAGGGATGGGAAAAAGTTATTATGCCTATTTTAAAGATAGGTCAATATAAATCTCTAAGAAAAAATGTGCCCTAGTCACACATTGCTAAATGATGAGTAGGGGGGGTCTCCTGGCTCCAACTCCAAGAGGTTTTTTTTCTTTTTCTTTCCCCATTCTGTGGCACCTTCCCAGAAATAAGATAGTGGTGTGCAACAGATCACAAAATCAAGAAATAGATGAAGTTACCCTGGCTGGTGTGGCTCAATGGATTGAATGTTGGCCTGAGAACCAAGGGGTCGCTGGTTCAATACCAAGTCAGGGCACATGCCTGGGTTGTGGTCCAGGTCCCCAGTAGGGGGTGTACAAGAGGCAACCACACATTAATGCTTTTCTCCCTCTTTTCCTCGCTTCTCCTCTCTCTGGAAATAAATAAATAAAATCTTAAAAAAAAGAAATAGTGAAATCATAACAGAAATGTAGGAGACTTAGATAGATCAGGGAGCAAGGGATATAGTAACGGGAGCTCCCCAGTTATCATAGAATCTACTGCATAATTGTGTAGGAGTCAGCACATTTGGATATACTTAGGAACACCTGTAAGTCCATATCAAAGTGCGGGAAAGCACAAGCAAAGTGGCCAAGAGATGTTTTGTCAGGTGCTTTTTCTTTTAGCTTTGCCCACTGCAATTACCTAGGAGGCCTGTTTGCCTGGACGCCAGAGGCAGTTGATCCTGTGTGACCTAAAGAGACCACGATCTATCTCTGCCACTCCACCAAATCAGTCAAATGTACAAGAGCTGATGGAAGCATTATTTGAACCATTAATGTCCACCATTAGGGAAATAAAAGTATATTTAAAAGCTTTGCATTTTCCCTAGACTCTCAGTTATAGTAAATGCCTTTTTCCAAATCCTGTTACAAGTCTTCCCTTTCATGTTCTGTTTTTTGTTTTTGTTTTTGTTTTTTTTACCATTTTATTAGTTCATTTATTATAAGCCACCTAAATTACTTTTGAGATAAATCGGTTAGAAACCTCAGATGAACAAAAAAGGAATATGAATTTTGGGGTTAACCAAAACATCTGGAGTAACCTTCTGAAGTTGAGACAAATTAATTGACTATGTTATGCAAATGTCTTCAGTCTCATTTTCTTAATCTGTACAGCAGCCATTATATACATTCTAGAAGAGTTGCTATGAAGATTAGATTATGTAAGATCTCTGGAAATTTTCATGTAATTTGTAGGTGCTCAGGAAACATTGGTTACCTTTACTCTTCCCCTCAAGCCCCAAATGTTTAATGCTTTAGAGATTGGTTAAGGGGATAAGAGGTATAAATTTAAGAATAGGAGAAAGTGGCAAGGATTCTTAATTGAGCAAATAGAAATTAGGATGAGTGAATGAGTGGGAATAAGAGAGTCTGAAAAGGTCAGAAATTCTGAATACTTCTCCTTTAATGTAGAAGTGAGTATGAAAGCCAGAAGGGGGAAAGGCCAGGATAGTCTGTTTAATATTAAGTTTACAATGTCTGACGTACAAAGAATATTCTGATAATCTCTATGTGCTGTGGAAAAGCAAACAAGGCTGAACAAATTTGTGGCCCTGAAGACCCACCTTTAAAATTTTTTTTTCCTTTACAAATATAATGTCACAGTCCTTGAGTAGACAATCCCAAAGACTGATGGTGAATCTGAAGAGCTGAGCAACATATTCAAGGACAACAGGACCTGTGCCATAATGGTTTTCATACCCCACCCTGACCACCACCAAATCAAAACAAAACAAAAAATAAAAAAGTAAGAACATAGCTCTTTTTGAAAATTAACAAAGTATAAGCCTCAGGCTGTTTTCTCTGGAGATATACTATATTTTCCTAGGAATCCAACATAACAGCAATGTAAAAAGGCATGTTTCATTCATTTCTACTTTTGTGGTGAGATTCTGGTAAAGTGAAGCCCCAATTCTTAATTCTAATAGTTTAGGCTTCTGTATACATTGCTAAGATTAAATTCAGTATCTCAGAGCTGTGACTGACATTTAGATCATCCAAGATTAGAGAGCACATTTTCTGATTCTAAGTTCAGTGACTATCTTTGTGGTAGAGTCAAAATTCTTGGGAAGACACAAATTCAACGTCATCTTTACCACTTTGCTGCAGATGCCTAGAATTCCATCAAAAGAATCCTTCTTTTGCCTTAATTCTTCCACTGCCAATTAAAAAGCAACTTTTTAGTATAATTTAGTGATACCTCAGAGTAAACCAATTTCACCAAACCATTTCTGCAGTACAAATCTGAGAGGAGCAGAGCAAAACACCCGTAGTACAAGGAAGGTCATACATAACAAGGCAAGACATGAACCATCAGAAAATGATTGTTTCTTCTCTAAATTTTTGCCCACTACTCACTTTCTTGTACCCTTTCTCACTAGCTGGATAATTTTGCTTCTAAATACAAAAGACAACATTTTAATTTCCAGACAGATCAACCATATCCGTAAAATATTTTCTATCAGTTCAAATGTGTGAATTTATAGAAAGATCACCATAAATACATCAATATACTTACATAAAATAAGGTAAAGAAAAAAACTTATGAAGCAAACATTAAAGAACTAAACATATGCATTAACCCTGTATGGGATTTGTAAATCAAAATTATTAAAATACTTTGCAAATGTAACAAGATCATCTTATTTTACTAATATACTTTTATTTCAAACATAATGATATTTTTTCTTAAGTATTGCTTAAGCCCTAAATTAATTATTTTCATTTAGAACAATTGTTTTTGAAGCTTAAATACAATTATTCAAAGATGGCAATATATTGTTATTTCTTTAAAAAAAAGTATTGAACATTACCGTCAACTAAAATTTTTGTATAAAAGTTTTCTAATGCCTATGTCACAGAAATCAAACTATTTAATAATTTTGGATGTGATTCAAATGCCTTTTGGTAAACTTAACAACTTAAGATGTAACTCAAGACTTGTTCAAAGATGTGAACAAATGATAATGGGTTGGCCAAAAGTTCATTTGTTTTTTTTCCCATTAGATGACTCCAGCAGCGCTTAGCTGTCCTTAACATCATTTGAAAAAAATGTGTGTGTCTTGTAACAGCTGTCATATCAGCATGTATTTAAAAATA